CAAAATCAGCATGCAAATTTGTTGCCTATCCTTTTCAAAGAGTAGGTCTATTTATATCAGATGCCAACGAGGTAGGGACATAACGCTAATTACGTACATGCACCCACAAGTCTAATGTATTTGGTAGCAAAAACAGGACGCTGGTCATTAAACTAAAGAACTCTTGCTTACAGGAATTTATTATGGTGCACGTGTTTCCATTTTTATGTTTAATTATAAGCACGTTGTAAGTGCACATTACTAGGATAATCTTATGTATCTAACGCGGATTTTTATTATATAATAGTATTTCAAATCAGTTTGCTATGCATTCGACAATTTATTAGATATCAAACTAGTTTTCCCAGTCATAAAATTTGTACATTTTATTCAGGTTAAATTGCACAACCGCCCCTAGATAAGCCCACCAAACTTTTAAAATAACACAAAACCTCCTTAAGTTTTTGGGTTCTCAGAAAACCCCTTTCATCTTTTAACATTGTTAAAAAACCTTTAAAGCGTGAAGCATAATTTTCGGCAAAAATATCATCATACATAATTTTACTTACCTATGAAATAGTACAAAGTAAACCTTAATCGCCAAAAAATAGTGGGTTTTATGACATTTTGAGAGTTGAGTGGTATTTTTTAAAGGATGTCCAAATTTAATGGGTTTTCTGAAAGGCTAAAAGCACTTAGATACCTTATAATTTGTTTAATTAACTGAGTTATTAATTAAATTATTTAATTAATAATAATTAACTTATAAATATAGAAGACTTTTAGCCTCAAACTGATAAGGTACATAATTAAGACATGAGTTTCTTTTTGCAAAGTGTTAAGGAAGAGATATTAAAGAGAAGGATTAACATAGTTAGCCCATTCAATAACCCGAATGACTAAATTATTAACCCATTATATAAGTTTTATTTTAGGTATTACGATCATTTTTAGCGTTTGGGAATAACAATGATTTTGACTATTTTCTTTATAATTAGAGGGGTTAACTCTTAATCATTCTAAATAAAAGTATTAGTAAGCCCGTCATTTTGAGAGGTTTACTCATTTCAATCCCTCTAGAAGAGTTAGCTTAACCCTTTTGTAATTTTTTGTGTTTGGTAAATTACAAAGGATTAACTCACTATAACCATTGTGTAGATTTATTATGTTTGGCGGGTTAATAAGGGGTTAAATCTTCTTAACTCCTCACTTAACCCTTTGCTAAACAGCACCTTCATTCAATGCATGTAATCATGTAAAAATTGCCAAAAACCTCATAGTTAACAAAACCCCACACGAACATATTTTGAGACAAAAACAAAACGTGAAAATGGACAAAGACTTTAATTATCATTTTATTAAATGAATCACATATATTTACATCATCTCTAAAAAAGAAAGGCAAAAAACAATTAAACACCTTAAAAGTCTCAGTGCATAGCAACGTTGATCAAGAAAAAAAAACATGAAAATTATAAAGATTATAGAGCAAACGAGCTTGAGGATGCCAAAGCAGCGAGGAGAGAATCAAGCTAGGTTTGGTTCTTCTCTTCCTAATCAAAATTTTGATTATGAATTGGAATGTTGATTGGAGAACTGTGATAAAATTTTGTTGTTATTCATAGTGATTTGATGGGAGAGAAATAGTTGTAACATTGGTTACCATTAGTGTAAATAGATATATTTATATTTAGTGTGCTAAGAGTTAGTGGAGGAGTGTTATGAGTGGGTGTTTAATTTAAAAATTAATGGCAATCAGTTGGGAGGTTATGAAAAATTGAGTATGTGTATTTTCATGTATGGATGCATGGATGTGCAAGCAATTGGAAGGTAATGCAAACGTGAACATGTATGTATCTTTATGCATGTGTGAATGAATGTGTTGGAGCGTATTTTGGTAAGGAATGTTTTAACATGACAATCTACTTTTATAATAGTATTACATAGATTAGGTTAAATATAAGTTTTTATGTTAAAAAAAAACCAAACATTTTCGTTGATGAATGGGTTAGTATGTTTCAGCAATTAGACTTCGAAGCAAAAAAGAGTTTGCCGTTTTGTTTATTTTTATCTTTTTTTTACAGTCAAACAAACGCTGAGCAGTAGTAATCACCTGTAATTGGATCATTAAAAGCAACAAATCAAATGCTCTAAAAGAAACTCGCTTTAAAGAGATACATGCAAATAACATCTTCATCCATAAAAAAACTACTAAGCAATAAAAACATTTCAGTCGCAATATCCCAAGTTGCAGATAACTTCTTCACTCCCAAAGAACGCAAAAAAGAAACACTTTTTGACTGAATTTATTGATATTTAACAGCTCATTTCCGTAACATAATCACTACTAATTCCCAATTGGGCAATTTAATCAACACCTCAAAGCTATCTTCAATTTCAATAATCCTGAGAATAAAACTCTATAATCTCCCTCAAATTGAGCTCAAGCAGAGAAGCAGTAGAAGCAGAACAATCGTTGTAAACTAACCACAGCAAGTGCTCAAAGAGAATGGCATCAACATCCACAAAGATCGAATCTCTTTCGAGGGACTCCTTGTTTTTGACCATTTCTAATAGGACCCTGAAGGGGTTCTTTCGAAGAACAAAAGGGTCGACAAAGAACACCCTCTTCTCCTTGCCGACGATAATTTTCACGGTTGAATCCTCTTCTGATGAGTACCCGTCCATCGCGAGAGCCCGGTAGCCACGACGAGATGTTGAAGATGGCCAGCGGAGGGAGAGGCAGCGGCTCATTTGGGACTGTGTAGAGATTGCCATGAGAGAGAGAGAGAGAGATAAAGAGAGGGGATTCTTTGGCTTTTGTAAAGAAGAAGGAAAAAGGGAGGAAAAAGGAGCAACGGTCGAGTTTTCATCATCAGGAAAGTGACGTTTTCTTTTTCTCTTTATTAATTAATTGTAAAACAAAAAAAAATCTCCAGCCTGCAGGAGAAATGTTCATACATGATACACATAAATAATATTCATGTTTTTTTACTAGTCATGAACATGGATACAAACACAAACATGCCCGATAGAAAAACTAACACTTCATATCCGTCAAAATAAAATAAACAAATGCGTATAGCTCTCTATAGAGCAGCCATGATTAGCTCCATAGATCATGAAAGCGTGCATCGAACCCACTGATTTAAGACCGAAGTTTTTTCACTCGCCCGAGTTTTATAGATATCTAGACGAAAAATATAATCACTCTTTACAGCTTTAGAGTTTTGGTGTAATGGTTAGGGACTCTAAAATTATATATCTATATTTGTATCCCATCGAGTATCGACGCAGATATATCTACAATATTCATATCATACCCTTTTATAGCCTGGCTGACAGGGTAAGCAAAGATTTTCTCGCCCCGGTCAAATTTGTCATTTGCTTCTGTTTTGTATCCCACTATTAGAAAAAGGTATAAATCAATATTAAAAAAAATAAAAAAAAGAGGTGGAGATATCAAGGGAGCGCCCAAGACGCGTCTGACTCTTTGTAAGATTTGGTTGTAGTGTGGTTGGGGGAGGTTGAGTCGGCATCAGAAGAAGGTCGGCAGCAGGCTACGCACTCCCTCCAGCGTGAGACCCGTGTTTTCTCTAGTCCCTTCCCTTCCTTTCTCACTACCAAATAGTAGTCGAAGACTAGGTAAAAGCTCTAATTGGTGAAATATTGTATCTGGGCTTTTATATCTAGAGATATTACATTACTTAAAGAAAATAAAATAAAACTTAGGGAAAATTGCTTCCAGCCCCCAAAACAACACAGAACGTGCTCTGCCCCCCCAAGACCTTTTCAACGTGCCTTTTACCCCCAAAACCGCCCCCGATTTTCTTCCAGCCCCCAAAACGAATCCCCAGGCAATTAATAAAGTAACCCTAACAATAAAAACGTAACCTTAACAACCAAACCGTAATATTAACAACCAAACCGTAACCTTGACAACGAAACTGTAACATTAACAACTAAACCCTAACCTTCACAATCAGTAAAAAACATGATTACTTACACAAACTAGAGGGGTACACCCTTGCAGATATAATGTCGTCTTCCCTGGCTCAGGACCCTTCAGTGCCCTCTCTATCGCGTCAGATGTCTCACTGAATATATAGGTCCCCCAAGCAGTGTTGTTGACCTGTTCGATGCTGTCGACGTACTTGAATAAATGCCTAGGAACGCCGGAAACACTGCTTGGACACCAAATCATGCTCAGCTGATAGAGGATCTGTAGCAGGACAAAGTCCTTCACATCTCGGCGATCAGAAGATAGTACCAGCTTCAAGAGCAGGTCCTCCACATTGCGTCTGGTGGGGCCTCCTTTGGGGGGAGCTATACTGCTGGAACCCCCCGTCTCGGGTTTGTCAAAGAACCTGGACCAAATCCTATTTTTCCTGTCCCGATTGTGGTCAACATGAAGCCCCTCATTGGAGAACCATGTATGCTCCATTACCCACTCAAGGTTGAATGAGCATGGGATCTCTTCTCCATCATTCCTATCGGTGAAGACGAATTTTTTGCTCTTCTTGTCCCACTGACTCAAAATGTGCTCAAAGGTGGGAAGATCGACGCCAGGTGGGCCAAATTGGACGTAGTGTCTGAATACACTATCTTCGTAGGCCGCAAAATGCCTTGGCCCCATACGCGTCACCAAATTCTGCATGAAGTCGTGATAGGCACCGAAGCTGGCGGTGGGCCGCAACGTAATAGCTGGCTTTGCCCTTTTTCTACAAAACAAAAACACAAGACGAGAGCATTTTTGAGTATAATCAGTAAACATAACAGCTATGCTGTAAACTTTGCGGGTAAACCAACAACCTTAACAGCAACCACATAACCTTAACAACAAAAACCTAACCTTAACAACCAAAGCCTAACCTCAACAACTAAACAACAACCTTAACAATAAAGGCAGTAACCAACAACCTTAACAACAACCCCACAACCTTATCAACCAAAACCTAACCTTAACAACCAAAGCCTAACCTCTACAAATAAACAACAACCTCAGCAATAAAAGCATAGACCTTGCATGTTAACAGTAACCTCAACAGCTAACAGACACCGTAATTTTGGACCTTCCCACCAGACTAAGAGCATTATCAATCCTAAGAGCATTATCAATCAAACCGTAACCTTAACAACATAAAACTTGCGGTAAAAATTACCTTTTGGGTGCTGCCACGTGCTTCTCTTCTTCTCCTCTCTGTAGACCAAGGAGCGCTCTAGTGGCATCGTTGGACGCGCCGGTGGTGCCGGTGCTGCCCTCTAGACCTTCGCGTGGGCCTACACTTAAATTTTGAGGCGGGCTTCTGGGATGAGAATGGCTGGTTGCGATGTCCTCTAGAACATCACCAATCGCAGCCCGAGCTTCAGATTCAGCCCGCACTGCAGTTGTCTGGGCTCTTTCTGAGATTTCGAACCGCTGGGCGTAATCGCTTTCGCTGTGGTCGGCATTGAGGTTGGCTTTGGGGGTTGAATCGCCGGCCATTTTGATCCCTTTGCTTTGATTCGGTTTGAGTTGGGGTCGGTTGATTTAGGGCTAGGGTTTTGAATTGGGTTTCTGGAGTCGGTTTGCTTGCAGAAGAGAGAGATGACAGGGTACGGACGAGGAGGTAACTCATAACGGGGAATTTTAAACGTAAGGGTATTTTGGGCATTTCGAGCGGGGTTTAAACGGCGTTACGCCTGGGGATTGGTTTTGGGGGCTGGAAGAAAATCGGGGGCGGTTTTGGGGGTAAAAGGAACGTTGAAAAGGTCTTGGGGGGGGCAGAGCATGTTTTGGGTTGTTTTGGGGGCTGGAAACAATTTTCCCTAAAACTTATTGTATCTGGACACGGGTTCAAACCCGTTAAGCATCCACAATTAAAATTAAACCAAAGACATATGAGAAACTCAACCCCCCCCCCTCCTCTCTCTCTCTCTCTTTATTGATTATTTTAATTTTAATAATCAATCAAATGAGCAAAGACTAATATTTTCTCACCCAAAAAACAAATAATAAATAAATAAAAGGAAAATTTATGTCAAGGCCCTAAATTTCAAATATCAATGTGCCTCAGCTCCTCATACTTTTTTAATGTGCTGCAGCCTCCAAAATTTAAAAAAAAATATGCCGAAGCCCCTCTAGCTCATGATTAGCTAATATTCCACCTAAAATCTTAAATTTACCCCTATCCTCTTTCTCCTTCCTCATCCTCCTTCCTCCCTGGCGATCCTCCACCGGCAATCCTCTTCCACCGACGATCCTCCACGGGCGATCCTCCTCCACCCTCCTTCGCCTTCCTCATCCTCTTCTCCTTCTCCTTTCTCATTCTCTCCTCCCTCACCCTCCTTCCTCCTTCCTCCCCGGTGATCCCCCAGTCCGTCGCCGACTCTGCATGGGCTCCACCAAAACCGACTCAATCTCTCCTCCCTCATTGATCCTCCAGTTCCCTGGCGATCCTCCTTTCTCATTCTGAGCATCTCAGCTAGATATATATGTAGACCAGTTGCTTCCAATGAACAAAACATAATCACATAGTCCTTTTCCATAAAGACATAACAAATTTTTCATAAATTTCTTTGGGCAAGGAGCTAGGGGAAACTCTAGAATAGTAGAGATTGGAGGAAGTCGGATTTGGGATTGAGTGATGTGATTGAGAAATGAGACAATGAGAAAGGAGACGAGGAAGGAGGAATGATGATGAGGGAGGATCGTCGGGGAACTGGAGGATCGACGGGGGAGGAGAGATTAAGTCGGTTTTGGTGGAGCCTATGCAGAGTCGACGACGGACTGAGGGGGTTGTCGGGGAGGACGGAGGATGAGGGATGAGAGAATGAGAAAGGAGAAGGAGAAGAGGATGATGAAGGAGAAGGAGACGAGGAAGAGGATCACCGGGAAGGAAGGGGGAAGGAAGATGAGGAAGGAAATGGAGAAGGAGAAAGAGAATAGGGGTAAAATTAGAATTTTAGGTGGAATATTAGCTAATCATGAGCTAGAGTGGCTTGATGGCTTGAGCACTTTTTTTGCAAATTTTAGGGGCTACAGTACATTGCAAAAGTATGAGGGGTTGGGGCACATTGACTTTTAAAATTTAGGGTCTTGACACAATTTTTCCTAAATAAAAATGAAAATGAATCTATCCTTTCATTATATACAGAGATCTTACTTGGCTTAGGCTGTTAATTATTTTTTTCCTTGTTCTTACTTTTTTATTTGTTTACTTTTGCTTTGTTTAGCTGCCGTTCTTATGAAAGACATGACTATCTAAGGGAGAACCTACTGGCTCTACCCGGAACGAATTTATAATCACACGATAATGAGTAAGATTCGTGTGTCCATATTCTTTTCTCTGGAAGCTCCTATTAGGCCTACGTCACAAGCTAAATCTGTTCATAGTCCATTTAAAGGACTTCTTCAGGCCCCAACTTAAGTAATACGGAGGGCTCCAAGTTTGACCCTAGGCCCATTGCAGAACCCGGCCCATAAACGTCCTTATCCAACTCCAACTGAACGCTCCGCGTGCCATGTGCAAAGGCACGTGTACACC